AGATGCCCTCATTATTTCTGCCTTGCAATGGCCTCTTGGCTCTGGGTTTGGGGATCCTTTCTAACAGCCATTAAATAAGTGCATGACAAGGTGACAGTCACAACTGAGGTAAAGAAGAGCAGAGAATGCAAGAGCCACCCTGAGTTGGTCATAATGGCATGGGTGCAGGCTGCTACCCCAGGCTGCCGCAAACCAACAATGGCTGTTGGCAGAAAGCAGGGCGTGCATAGAGAAGTCCGATGCATCCTGATATGGAGCTGTAAACAGCCCGCCCTAGGTGTCTATGTGAGAATGATGTGATTCTGAAATTGCCTGGCTGGATGGCAGGGAAACTTAAAAAAGAAGAAGAAGTATTCTGAAGACTGAAGTAAAAGGAACAGCCCATGATCCTTCAAACCCCAGAGATGGGATTAGAGGAGATCATTCTCTGGACTCCTACTAAACTCTACTTATGCTCATAAGGAAAGAATGATCTGTAATTTGCTGTTCTACAAAGGCCCGGACCGGCCTCATTAGCAACCCATTAGGAAAAGAAGACCCAACAGAGCCCGAGAAGGAAGCACAAAGCTTGTCCGGGGCTGAGGCAACCTGGCAGGGAGGCCTAGAGGAAGTAACCTTGAAAGGCGAGCTGGAGAACTCCACCCAAGTTCATGACCAAGCCAGCTCCTCTTCGCTCCCATTTTGCACCCTGCTCCACCACGCCTCCCCTCCTGCTCCCCACTGCCAGGCTTCCAGAAAGTCCCAAGTGCTGACGGTGTCACCAACTGGGTCTGGTCTGAAAAGGGCAGGAGGCAGCGACGCAGCTCCTTGGGGCCAGTCTCCTTCGGCAACAAGCGGGGCACCCCGGACTCCAGGCTGGAACAGCAGACCCTACAACTTCCTCGGGAGGCCCCGCGCCTGCCTGGAGCGGACTCCCCAGCACCGGGATCCCCAGGCCAGCGAGAGGATTGGCGGGCCGGGCCGGGCGTTGGACGCAGGCGCCGGGCGACCCGAGCCTAGCCGTGAACCCGAAGCCCCGCTGCAGGAGCCGGCCGTGCACGCGGCGCGGGCGGCACTGGGCGCTCGCTCTGAGTCCCGGGGACATGCCCGCCGTATCTGTCTCTTAGGTGGCCCTCGGTCCCCGCCTGCCAACTCCGCCGCTGCGGCTCCGGCTCCGTCTCCAGCGGGGACCTTGCCCCCGGGGATTCCAGGCTC